TGTTATTTTTGCACGCTTCTTGGAACTGGGGGCATTTCTTACTACCTATTTGATGGTCAGTGTTTTCCCTTCCCTTACTCTTACATACGCTACACGACGGTTTTTTGTTGCATGACTTTGCAAAATGCCCGTTTTCTCCACACTTGACACAACACTGGCTTCTATCGTCGGGGCTATTGCATGCTTTCGCAAGTTGCCCGTATTCGAGACACCTGAAACACCTCCTCAGGTTCTCTTTCGGTCTTATTCTGCACACTACCCAGCCTTTTTTGATTTTATGTGCGTCCAGGAGCGTCCTTGCCTCCCGCGTGGGTAGGCTTATGACCGCAGTTTGTGTTCCTCGGTACGCCGCCCTGATGCTCCTAATCGAGTTTGTGTCAAACTGCTTCATCTCTATTATCTGACTGCGTATGGCCTCGGCTATGTCCTCTTTGCTAGTGATTTCGTCCATGTCTCGAATTACTACCAGTGTTTCATGGGTTAGTGTGGTTTCCCAGCACTTTCCCTATTTCAATCTTGAAATCTCCCGTGGTCTTCATTTGAGCCTTCTTTAGTTCCAGCAAAATTTGTCCTTTGGCCGTCTTTCTAATTGTTGACACATTTTCCCCCAGTTTCTGCAGTGTGTCATTTGTTCTGACCGTCCTTAAAATCTCACCGGTTGTCTCAATGATTATGGCATCGGGACGAGGTGGCGGTTTGTGCGGCGTCTTTTTCAGTGGCTTGCATTTGACAGTAATCCAACCATTTTGTTTGCTCACTTCTTCCGCTTTGCCCTTGGCGGGGTAACTCTTTGCATCCTTATTCAAAGATGCTTCAGGCTTATTCAGCGCTTCCTTGTGAGACATTTTATTTCTCTTTGGCGATGTCCTTCGCTTCGGCTGTATTTCGTCTCGGGGCCTCTTTGGTGTCGCCTCGGTAGTTGTTGGCATGGCGAGGGCACTTGGTCTTGTCTCCTTGTTTTCACTGTGCTCCTCCTGAGCACTTGCGTGCAGTTTGGATATCAAGCCGAGAAGGTCCCTCATGTTGTTGTTTATGGAACGCTGTGGTGGACGCATAATTTCGATCAACTTCTTTATGGCATCTCCTAGTTCCGTCATATAGTCTTCACAAGATTGTACCGCTTTCGTCAGAGGCGTGGTATCGCACAACGCTGGTAGCGACGACCTCACTCTCGCTGGTTTCTCAATGACGAGGGTCTTGACTGGGGACCTGCCCAATTTTGGTGCGCGTTTAAAGGGGTCTGTTTCCACGATTGGTGTTTTCTGAGTTGTGGTTTTCTCTTGCCTCCTGCTATCATTTCCTGTGCTGCTATTCACAATGATACCGAATATATTGCCACTGCTATTTGAATTTGTTTTATTTCTCATGTTATTCTCCATTCTTTGTGTGTTTTACCAGCGCATCGTGTGCAGGAGGGCGGGCCGAAATAGACAGGAACGGGTATACCCTCGGAGACACTGCCCCTACCCCAGTTCTCTGAGGCCTGTCCTTCGCTTTACCAGTCCCGGGAAACTCGGACGGACCGGCGCTCGCCCGGGGCAACGCAGGCTACTACTCCCACGTCCAATGTACACTTCTTGACCAGAGCCCGAAGGGGCTGGTTACTGATACACACTGCGGCAGACACATCGGCAGAGCAAGCTCACATCATCCTCTCCATCCCGTCAGCAGAGAACTTGCTGGCGGCATTTCGAGGGACTCCCAATGCGCCGCGCCGTGTATTGACAGCCGCACCTAACATGGTGAAAAGACGCTGACCAGGAAGCCGCCCAATTGTGGGTCCGTCGCGCCTGGATTTTCATATTTCTCGTCATGCCCATGCATGATGAGAGGGACACATATTTCTATGAGGCGGTGTCTATTCGCCACAGTCACAGGAGCTTCAGCGGATCTGCTAGCTTTTTATACCGCATCCTCCACTCCTGCCGCTCATCGTATATATGTGTATATGTGTGTGCACTTGGTTGTAAACATACGGAGGGCTGTAAGATTTCATATTTGCCATTAAATATGTAAATGTATGCCAGTGCATGTGCAGCGTTTTGGCAGAATATGTCAGTTTCGGCTTTAAATAAGCAAAAAGAAGCCCTGAAATATAAATCCAGACTTATGCATATGTATGTAAGTGAGCATATGGCAACATACACACACACACTTAAAGACATATTTACACATCTATATACATTTTTTATACAGTCTGCCGTTGGCAAAATTCATAGCACACTTGTTGCATGGATGGTAAATATTTAATTACTTATAGCATCGATGCAGAAGCACCAACATGGCGGCTACATATACCATACACACATGTTACATACATACTCGCATATTCCATATACACTCATAATACACACATATACACCCATAACCACACAAACATACATGCACATGTATACAAGTTAGATGTTGGCCAAGCAACCCTGCCTTATACTTGCGCCAAAACTTTCTCCTAATTGCAGTGAAATTGCTGGGAAACATTTAATAATTTTAAATTGACTACTCTAAGTTTCGGTGTATTTAACATGCACCATTATTTGATTCTCCACACATTTCACTTTTCACAATAAATAAAACTTTGCTCAGCGGATGATGATTGTAAGCGTGCATAATGAGTTGGAGAAAAAATTATATTTTATGTATATATTCTATATTTTCCTTCATTTAACTCTATGTAACTCGTACTCACCAGTATGGCAACAACAGTTATTTAGAATTGACCAAAAGCGTAGTAGTAATTTTAAAAATAATATCCGCAAAACTTTAACCGTATTTCATAAGCTTAACAAATTTTATAGCGAAAAGCTTATCACGAAAAAATGTTATACATTTACGAAATAGAAGTAGAATCCACCGAAAAAAATTTAAAAAAAAAACCGTTATAGAACACAAACCTTTTAAAAACTAATATTATACATTTCTTTTTTGCAACTCTCCAGTTTGATACACGAATTGTAATCTTGCATTTGTGGCAACAATTTAATGTTATTGGAAATATGGTATAAACTAGTGGGAACTCTTCTTAAAAATATTTTATTATTTATTTTTATGCCCTGAACAGGGTATAATAAGTTTGCCACGAAGATTATAACACCCAAAATAAAACGCCAGAGACCCTATAAAGTATATACTATATAAATTGTAATCTGTATATATGCGCACTAGCCCCTCAGTTTTAGAGATATCAATCTAAAATTCACATTGCACCCGTCCTTTTCTTACCAAGAAGCTGCTCATTTGTCGGAACAGCCGATATCGGATCTCGATACTATATAGCTGTCATACAAACTGAACGATCAAAATCAAGTTCCTGTATGGAAAATTTTTTTATTTGACAAGATATTTTCACGACGTCAGTACAATCTCTGAACAAATTGAGAACTGATGAATATAATATCTGACCTGATATTACAACCCCGACGCCTCATTAAATATTTTTCGAAATGTGATCTGGTTGATATCTTTCTATATTACATAATCGTATACATACATATGCATGTATGTTCTTCTTTTTGAGTGGGCTTATAATCATGGTGTGTCTTTTGTTTTATTTCGAACACAACACCACTTAATTATCTTGATTTCACTATACAGTCCATAAATAATTCAATAAAGGGCCCATAAATCCTTTTTAGAATCTGTCTCTTCTGATGAATGATATAAAAAATTTTGCTTAAAGGCGCTTTTATTTTATCGCTATTCGGTAAATAAGTGTAAGTCTAATCGTAACTACTTCAAGAATTGCACTTGGGGCGAGAGAGAGCGTGTGCTACCAACGATGATTAGTTTTGGATCCGAGAATTTTTCACCTTCTGAATAAATTCTGAATGCGCTAAGCTAATCTATTGCACAGCTCCTATCGGCTCTCTGTGCCAATTACTTAAAATCTAAGGATTTTAAAGAACGTTTTTGATTACATTAACAAGACCATCCGATTTCTTCCTTGAAATCTTTTTAAACTGCTTAAGTTGTATACATTTTGTAATAATTACATATTTTTGCAACTCTATCTGAAAATATATCTAAATACTTTCCTTCGATATAAATCACATTAGAGTAAATTCATAAAAACTAATCAATAAAATCGCTATATTTTTTTCCGGGCTATGCGACTAGAACAAAGCGTATTTCGAAATATTTACGGTTATAGACGACCAACAACACTTCTTAATTGATGGCACTCCCAAAAATTAATTTACAATTTAATAAAAATTCGGCTTACATATGTACATACTTATATACCTTCATATATACTTTATAAAAACCGCAATGAAAAAAATTATGCGATTACTCTACTACGATAGGCTTCATTTGCCTTTTGGAGTTCCCAACCGCGATACGAGTTTGTTGCAAAACATGTAGAACTTATTGCATTTCGTGGCTTTTTGCTGAACTTTACAGAAAGAACAAACATTTGAACTGCAACAACAACAAAGCGAAGAAACTGAAAAAAATCCACTTTTTTCGATGAAAGATGAGACAAAAGCAAGCAAGTGCGCTAAAGTGCAAAAGCGTCTAAGAAGTAGAATCGGCAAGCAGCTAAATTACAAAATAAGAACCACAACAACAACGAAAGATGTCGTGACGATGCAGCGCATAAGCTAATGGCAGCACTAAATCAGCTTTAAAGCGGCCGCAAGGTAGTGAACGTTGTCAGCAAGGTAGGCAGGCAGCCAACAGCTAGAAAGTAGCAGCCGTTGGCAGTCGGTAGCCGGCGCTGGCTGCCGTTATAACCTCATCAGAGCCACGAAACCAACTATGCGAGTACCACTTCTGCGCGCCGCACCGACGTCGCAGCTGTCAATTTCGGTTTCACGGCAACAACACTGGCGCTACCATATAGAAATAAATAAAACATGTGTGTGTTCGGTGGTTCAGCTGTACGTTGCTCAGCGAGCAGCCGTTGGCGTAGCAGCACATAACCAGCCAGTGGCGACACAATTCACCAGCCGCGAGACCCAAATACCGAAAAGTATCCAAAGACAAGAAAAGAAAAAAAAATATGACATAACACCCGAAAAGTGTATTCATTTCCATTTTATTTGTTGTACACTCTTAATTTCATTAGTACTTTTTTTTCTTTTCCTTGAATGCTTTTTAAGCGAGTATTTTTGGTTTTCACTGTTGTTGTTGCTGTTAAGCTGTTGCTGCTGCATACCGCTACTACGATTATTGCTTATTGTTGTTGTTGTAGCGGCTGTTGTTTTACAGGTTTTGTTTCTGGCCAAGATTTCGGTTGCGGTATTGACTATAATTTGTTATTGTTGTTGTTTTTGCTACATTTTTGCTTTTTTACGGAATTTATTGGGTGTTTTTTTGTTGTTGTTTTCTTTCTCGTCACTCATTTCCACAACCAGTTATTTTAATTTCTGCAATTCATTAAAATCGATTAAACGTATGTTTGTGTGTGTGTGGTGAACGAAGGCAGAAATAACGAAGGAAGACATAGTATACAAAGTAATTACAACAACAAATAAATAGCACATAAATTTACTAGTACAACGCTATAAAATTGCATAAACAAAACCTACATAGGTAGGTGGATGTGCTCGTAAAGACCTGATACTCACATACTCATACACATGTATGTCATATATATGTTATATATATATATATACATATATACATATGTGAATGTGTGATTGGTGCGTGGTGGCACAACAACAAATTGCTTCTCAGCCAGCTAAGGGGGGCTAGACAGGCAGCCAGCCAGCACCACGCGCAGTCAACCAGTCAACAAAAGAAGATGAAAGTGTCGGCGGAAATTTACATATTTACGGACTCGTACCCGCTTAGATTAATTTTTATACTCTGAACAGGATATATTAAGTTTGGCGGTAAGTTTGTAATGCCCAGAAAGAAACGTCAGAGACCCTATACAATATATGTATATGTAAATGATTGGCGTGACGGGCTGCGTAGATTTAATCTTGTCCGCTTATCAGTCCCTCAGTTTTTGAAATTTTGTACACGACCTTTTCTTTTCAAGAAGCTGCTCATTTGTCGGAACTGTCGACATCGGACAACAATAGCATATAGCTGCCATACAAACCGTACTCTCAGAACCAAGTATGGTATGGTAAAATTTTTTATTTGACAAGATATCTTCACGAAATCTGGCATGGGTTGCTGTCCAAGACAATGCCACATTCTCCAAGCATATTGTTCAGATCGAACCACTATAAGATATAGCTGTCATACAAACTGTTCGATCCAAATCAAGATAGAGATCTTTTTATACACTCTTATGCTATAAGAAATGTATCTGTGGAGGGTATTATAGCTTCAGTCCAGCCGAAGTTATCGATTTTTGTTGTTGTTTTGTTGTGAGATCATGAAATTGGATAATGAAACAGGGTTGCCGCTACCTTCTCCGTTGTTAGTTGTAATTGCATGTGCGCTGTCCCAGTTTTTCTCAGCACCAGCGCGCTTGGATTACCGGTAATTGGTCCAAAAGCGCAAATATGCGCACAAACACATATACACACAAAATTATGTATTTTAATATAGTTGTTTATAAAGCGAGTGAGCGGGATTCCAGTGAATACTTCGATGCCAAATCGAAGTGAAGTCAACGAAAAAAGCAGCCAGTGCATGAAATTAATGTTGAATGCAAGTGACAACCTCAGGTGTTCCGAGTAATGCATACGGATATTGGCTAAACTACTTTTGCACACAGCCACATCTAAACGCATACATGCCTCTCTGTAAATGCAGAGGAAATATACTAGAGCAAATATATTGCGAGTTCAACTTTGGCAATTTGTGTGCAAATTCGAGATTTCGGGAATATCATTTGCGGTAGTGAAATACCCAAATATGTACGTAGGTATGTGTGTGTGTGTGAACTTTTCATGGCCTCACTTGCGGTTTTTGAATACCAGCCACACTTCTCGCAACGTGCCACTTACTCGTGTAACTTGTGCAAGAGTGCTTATGATCACATGAAGAGGTGGATGCACCTAAGCGAAAACGTAAGCAGATAAAAGTGATTTGTAGGTATGTATGTATCTCTGTTTAGTTGTATTGGGATTATTTATAGAAGTTGAAAGGGTCGCGTGATGGTTTGTGTTGCATTTACTGCAATTTTATAAGCGGATCCACTGCATTATTTGTTCTTATGAAGAGATGCATCTGCATAAATTCGAATATATATGTATTAAAGTAGTATGCTAATAAATCGCCCAAGTATTTAGTCATAAGTTTAACTGCAGTTTGGAGCTGAATCTAAAAATATACAAGTAAAATTAAAAGACATGATGCCTAATATAAGGAAAATTAATAACAACTAAGCAAGGACTAAATCGGGTGCAGGTTAACATGCTATATTATATACCTATATGGTGACTGCACGAAAAAATATTTCCACTATATTTTATTAAGATAGGAAGATAGATAGAGGAATAACGGATATCATTTATGTATTTTTGGCACTAAGCTTCAGTATATCTAACAAAACATTAAACATATTTATTGGCCGGTATCTACTGTATAAAGTCAACCGAATATGTGAAGATCATTATATTAGGTATACGAGAGGTGGGGGAAGTACCTCGTCGACTTTATCAAAGATATCTCACATATTGGTCGAAATATATATGGTACAAAGTCAACCAGAAGTTCGAGAAGTAAGAAAGAACTGAAATGTGTATATAACACTCTCGCAACTTGCAAGTATCAAAGACGGGAAAATACTATCAGTCGTTGGCAAAACATTATTTTAAACTAGAAGAAGTATTGTTTTGATTCCATTCATTTTAGGCAAGAGCATAAACCGTTATTAGGAAGAGATTTCTTTCTCAATTTCATCGAGATTTCTTTTATATATACCGATAGATGTGGTATAAAAACCACCGGAAGTTCTAAAATATTTATATTAGGTATTACCAATTTTACCCATTTTTGGTTCAAGCAATGCTGTCATGACAAATATATATTTCCCCGAATTTCATTATTAGACCTTTTTGATTGGCCGATATGTTCGATAAAAAATTAGGCATATACACTGCATTACCATTATTGGTGTCTGGGTCCTTGAAAAGTTATAGTCCGATTTTGATAATTTTTAGACCTTGAGAGCACTATTTGTGGAAAGTTTCATTCTGATAACTTTGTTGATGTTTCATTTGTATACTGTAAAGTAAAAGAATCAGATGAAATGTAAAAGTTTGTTATATGGGAAGTGGGCTTTTTTGTCATCCGATTTTATCCATTTTCACAGTGTATAATAGAAATATTTGTGTAACCTCACACGCCAAATTTGGTGAGGTGAATTTGGTGAAGTAGTTCCTGAGATATAGGGTTTCACCTAAAAGTAGGCAGTACCACGTCTTTTGTCCAATTTTTTAATATACTCATATAAAGCCCTCATTACCATCTTTATTGTGTAGTTTAAGGGTTCTGGCGCATTTGCTCAGAGTTATCGCACTGAAAACTACTTCAACAAAACTGTTATATGGGGAGTTATCATGGTTATTAACTTATTGTACTAATTTCCACAGTGTATGAAAAAATGCCAAACGAACTTCTTGTCAGCAAGTTTAGAAGATATGTACATCAAACCATATAGGAGTTGGGGCCACTCTCACTTTTAAACAATTTTTAGTCCACAAGCGTCCCTCACTACTGTGATCTCCTGTGGTAAATTACAGTTTTGTATCTTAATTTAGTACCTTTCTCTGGGTGACAAGGAATGTGTACAAAGTTTCATCAAAATTTTTACTCAAGTTATTGTTTGCAGGGAGAGACAGACAGTCATCACGTCGGATTTCACGTCGTCTTTTCAACCTATATATATATATATATATGTACACATAGTTTAGTTATATATATATGTTGTTTAGTTTGAGGTGATACAAGCAACCGTTAGGTGAACAAAACTATTATACTCTATAGCAACATGTTGCAAAAGTACACTAATCATTGAATTGGGTATGTACAAATATATATGGGCTACGGGAAGCGGGAAAACGATTTTACTCATTTTCAGATTTTATTATCTGACGAAATGATCTCTTAATTTCATTCAGATGTCTCTCAGAAGTAAACATTGATCGATATTTTATATATTATATTAAGTGAACTACAGATTCTGAAGTCTTCATATTGGGTATATTGGGGCTTGAATATATAAATTCCGTTTTCGACCATTTTTAGATGAGAGATGTCCACCTTAGCGAGACTATTTGCGCTAGAATAAATGAGTTATTTTTCATTTGTCATGAAATGCTGGGTAGAATGGTTTCCACCAAGTCTGATCGATGTACCTTTCCTGCTTTAATAGATATGTATATCAAACCTTTCAGGTGTCCTGATAACGCAAGCTTTTCCCAATTCGTTTAACCACAGTTTTCCCACCTTTATTATAATCCTCGGCACCAAATTCAATTTTTTTGTTTAAGATGTGATCTTGTTACAGCATTGTATACTTTAATGATTGTAGTCGCTTTGTGGACATTATAATGGTCCGATTTTGCTAATCTGTAATACCAACCTTCTTACAATGCCAAAGAAAATATGTACCAAGTTCCCTTTGCATCGGGAAAACAGACAAACAGACTCTCATTCGGATATATGGTCGTCTCATATTTATGATGATATATATGACTAAATATCTATCTCAGTTAGTTTTAAATACTCAAAGCTAAACTAAGCAAACCTATTATGCCATTAAATACGTTGACGAAAAAATGTTAACCAGAGTCTCCACCTAATTAAACAAATAACATCGAATATTACAATAAATAATATGGTACATTAGGTCATAAAAAAAGCCTATTTCAAACAATAAAAGGTAAAAAATTATGATTGTCATATACCGAATTTTATCAAACGTACAGCTTACAAACTCTCAAAGGATACATATGTATGAGGTACAGGTTGCAAAAATTAGACATTTACAAAATTCTTTTGGCAAATAATAACTACTTACAATTTATGTTTCTCTTTTCCAAAGTATAGGATAAGATATTGTAATTATAGAAAGCACATTGCTTTGTTATAGTCTATTATAGCCCGACATCTTTGATGGCAACTTGTAACAAAATTTTTCGCATATTCCACATGAAGCGACCTATATGTTGGAGTAGCCGAATGAAACCTTTTATTTACGTTAAAGGTTTTATTGATATTTTAACTTTCAATAATGTCCAAATATTCTCTATTGGATTGGCGTCTGGTGACTGCAATAGACAATCTAAAGTAACAATATGGTTTGCTTATTTCCATTTGGTACAGAGTGCGCCTATGGCTCGGAACATTATCTTTTCGAAGTATCCAATTATGGTTATTTTTGCGGTAAGGCATTTCAGCTGACTTCAGTTAACCCTTTTTTATACAATTTTATCACTATAACGGCGTTCAGGATTTCGGTAAAGCACCTCAAAACCACAAGTCCATGAGCATAAAAGCATCCATAACAAGTAAGGAAGGGCTAAGTTCGGATGTAACCGAACATTTTATCCTCTCGCAAAGTCAAATGGTATACTCGTTTGAGATTTCTTTGTGGATTGACTGATATTTTCGGTAGAAGGTCAACTATAGGCACTGGGGTTCACAGGGCTTGAACAGTTTTGGCTCGATTTAGATAATTTTTGGCCACAACGGGGCATACTTTCATCGCATTATTCACGCAATGTTTTTCCCGATACAGTCATTGTAGCCTGTTTTGCATAGTGGAAAGTGAAAAAATCAGATGGAATTTAAAATGGTGTTATGGGAAATAGGCGTGATTGTAGTCCGATTTTGCCCTTTTTCGCACTATACATAGAAATATGAAAAGAACGTTATGCACCGAATTTGGTTGAAATCGGTTAAGCAGATCCCAAGATATGGGTTTTCACCTAAAAGTGGGCGGTGCCACGTCCACTGACTAATTTTGAACGCGGTTCCTATAAAGTCTACTCATACCATCCCAGAGATATGCCATCTGGCGTGTTTAGTGCTTGATTTATAGCGCTTTTAGTATTTTTTAACAGTACCGTTATATGGGAAATGGGCGGGCTTGTCACCCGATTTCACCCATTTTCACGCCGTCAATAGAGGTGCTAAAAACATTTGCTCCCAATGAATTTGGTTATTTTAGCGTAAGCGGTTTAGGAGATATGCACATTAAACTCATTAGTGGCGGGACCACGCCCACTTTAAAAAAAATTTTAACTGCAGATGCCCCTCCCTAATGTGATCTTTTGTACCAAATAACAGTCTTGTATCTTATTGCGGAGCTTAGTTATGGCAATTTATTTGTTTTTGATTAATGGCGTTTTGTGGGCGTGGAAATAGTCCGATTACGCCCATCTGCAATACCAACCATCTTACGGTACCAAGAAACATGTGTACCAAGTTTCATGAAGATATCTCGATTTTTACTCAAGTTACAGCTTGCACGGACGGACGGACAGACAGTCACCCGGATTTCAACTCGTCTTTTCATCCTGATCATTTATATATGTATAACCCTATATCTAACTCGATTAGTTTAAGGTGATACAAACAACCGTTAGGTGAACAAAACTATTATACTCTGTAGCAACAAGTTGCGAG